CTAATTTGGTTTGGAACCAAGTCACCAGAAGATCAGAAAGTTGCGATTGATCTTTTAGCACAGAGGTTGAAGAAGGATCCGCTCACCCTATCCACTATTATTGCTAATGGAAAGCAAAAGAATGGCATATATTATCACTTAGCAGATGCGGTGGAGATGAAATGGTGGATAAGCCTATCGACAGATGAGATGTACAAAAAATTAGGACTTTTCCCTATCGAAGACCACGGAATATTCGTGTTACAAGTGGGTCAATTGATTTGGGAAAAAATCAACAGGTTGGGAGAAGAGGTATTTAACACATTCATGCTGACAAAAATGCTTGAGCGATCAAAGGATGAGATTAAGTGGGCTCGAATTATTTACGATCTACAGAATGAATATGAAATGGGCTTTTCACTTGTCAATTTATTTGATGGTCTTATTTGGGCAAAGGATAAAGGTGCAGAAGGCTGCAGACCCAGCGAGGCTGTCAAGTTTCTCACAGATGTTAAATTTACAAGTATGCTTGCTACCAAAAATTCTCGCGAGGAAATTGTCAAAAAGGTGCTGATAAAACTTCGTGAGCGGTCGAAGGATGAACTCATGTGGGCAAAACTGGTTTATATGCTAAGATTTCACGAAAAAGTTCCCGACGTCTTTGACGCTGTGATTCGTCCACAGTATGCCGAATCATATGTTCAAGTCTTATACTCACCCAGTAAGGCTATTAAGCATCTGACAAGTCCACAATTCGTAAAGGTGTGTCAAACATATAATCCGATCTTTGCGAGCACGATTTATTACAAGTGGCTACTTATGGGGTCTGATGATGAACTGGGCCAAGCTGTTGTACATTTTGCGTAACGACGACGAAGTGTCCAAAATTGCTCCCGATCTGTTGGATTTGATTCTAAGTTTATGGACAAAAAATCCATATGGTTCGGTTCAATATTCTCCACACGCTTCTGACTGGAGGGAAGAGACCTTGACAAACATTAAATTTACCGTTTTAAGTGAATACGCGGATTTTTCAAGTGACAATCCCAACACATTTATGCTAAAAACGTTGCTAAAGCTATCGCCAGAAGAAGTAGAGTGGGCTCTCGTTCTCAATAAGCTGCAAAAGAGTAACGATGTGCAAAATCCTTTATCAGGTGTGCTTGGTGCTCTTCTCCACTCATGGATCGCAACGCCACAACATGCAGCTGCGAAGAATGATCACATACTTATCGACGCTTTTCGTTTTTTGCTAAAGACTATCCGACCCCGCTCAGCAATTCGTGACACTGCACAAAAAATGGCGCACGAGCTGCTTTTGAAATCGAAGAATGCATACATGTGGGCTGCTTTTCTCTATAAGCTACAAGAAGATGAAACCTTGACCAAGACAGCTTCTCCAGTCTTTGATATTCTTGTTCAAATCCATAAGCCGAACGGAGCAAAAATCGATGAGATCAAGTCAACTGTCAATACTCTAAAAAAAACAGATCTCACGGAAGCGAAACGCTACACAGATAGTTTGATACATCCTGTGCTCGAATTAATACCAGATTGGAGATCAGATCTAGTCACGTGGGCTAAAGTGTTATATCTCCTGCAAAACATCGAATCCGTGGAGCTTCAACCTCTTTTTTCCTATTTATTAGAGACCTTGGTTTATAAATGGGCGACAGAATTTGGTATCAAAGATAATGAAATGTTTCTTTCAAGTGATCATTTTGATGAATTGAAGGTGTACGCACAGTTTTCGAATGACGATCCCAATGTGTTACTGCTGAATAGTCTGCGAGGCCATTTGCACGATGACTTGACGTTGGCTCGCCGTTTAAATGAAGACAGGAAGAAGAAGTCGTTTTTAATTGGTGCTTTAAGCGCTCTTCTCTGCTCATGGATTGGAATGCCTTTCGATGTGAATACACATATTGAAACTATGACAATACTTGTTCGTGTTTATGAGTATCTGTCTCATCCAATGCGCATTGTCGATTACAACAAGAACCAGAATTTTGGTGAAACCACACTGGACGCAATTCTTGACGAATCGGCAGATAAAGTCATGTGGGCCAAATTTTTAAACAAGCTACAGAACGATGCATTCTTGCACGATCTTATTTTCGAAGTGTCAAAAGATCTTGTGTCAAGAATGGAATGAACGATCGCTTGCAGAGATCTAGAGCATTCAATCAGCCTTGATACTTTCTTTTCATTACGTGCTTACGATGGAATGCTGTCGCTTTTTAAAGTTTGGCATGAAGAGGTCAATTAAGTACGTCAGGCTAACTCTTTGCGTGATACTTTTTGTTCGAAGCTAATTTGTTTCTTTCGCGACAAGACTTTTAGTCCTGAGAGCAATGATTGCTTCAGATCCGACAGGATCGACTGCATAATTGCGTAGAAAGACAAGCGCTGATGCCTGAAGTAGACATTGCATTTGTTGCAGCTTTCTAATACATGTATTTTTCCCAAAGTGTTGTCTAATAATGCTAGGCATTTTGAGCTCCATCATGGAACACTATTTTGTGCCTTGCGATAGGCTCCTGCAGAGACGGCAAGCAGCGCAAATAGTTTGCGTACGAGAGAGAGTGCTTTTCGCATAGGCATTCAGACGAAAACCATGCACATGCCTCTATTTCTGTTTAAGGCAAAACATTAAAATTGCTTTTTCTCGTAGCCCATATCTCTCACACTGCATCATTAAACGCAGGTGGGCCACAGTGAAATACCGCTACCTTCAGAGACACTTTGGGCAACAGTTCAGCAAGTAATGCCGTATCGAATTGTTGACCAGCTTGAACCGACTCAAATCCTTAGCACCTTCTTCGTTGGCCTTGTGGAGCACGTGGTGTACCTTTATGCGGGCATTAAACATATTGGCCAGTGGCTCCAAGTGAGTGAGTGCAATAATATGGTTCAAAGAGTGGTTACAATCTACCAGCGTAAATTTAACTATGTCCTTACTCTCGTCCATAATCGCACAATTCAACTGCAGCATGAGTGATGCCCGTGCCTGCAGCAATCATGATATCATGGTTTACATTTGTCATCTTCAAATGACTTTTGATCGTCACGACTCCTGCACTGGGGTATCCAAGCATTCCTTGTGGTCCCAAAATCTCGACTGAATCTCCCACTACCAAGTTATCCATACGTGCTCATGACCCCATTGGAATAAACTTTGACCAATAAATTAAAAGATCCTAACTGGGTGATCGAGGTTGTTGTAAGTTCCAAAATCCTTAGTACCAGGTAATTTGAAAGTAAATTTAACAGTCTGTTGACTAACAGTCCGCTTGTGTTCTAGCGTGAAAGAACGCCATTGCATTCTGTCCACTGCGAATCTGGACGTCTCTGAAGCGACAATTACTGTTGTTGGATCCAATAGAGCGATGTTACATTTGTCCAACATTCCATGACCATTACCTCATGGATGTTTCTCATTAAAAAGGTCAGTGCAGTCCCCTTCGACCGCTAAAAGCACTTCTGCAATGCCTCCAGGATGATATTTTAAAGATATGGCGTCAAATTGTACACTTTACCGTCCAATATACTCCAGAAGTCGCATTCGGTGCAGTGGAAATTCACTTCTTCCATCGAAATGGCGCGACGTGCGGGACCGCCACGAAGACCTGATCGATCTTGACCCGATTGACATAGCTGCATCCTGTACATTCACATCTTAAATGTATCGTTCATAATAGTATTGAGAAGGTCATATACGAATCGATTTATAGCCGGGGGATAGCGCTACCTTTTTGCGGCGCTGGACCATAGTCAAGCATCTGCTCATTATAATAAAATTTGACGGTGTATTGGGTGATAGAGTGATTGCACATACGCCAATTTAAGAGCTTCTTCCTTTGGCTCCTTGACGACAATTTCGCTTCATTATCTGCTTCTCTATTGGCATCATGACAGTCTGTTCTCCTTCAACGTCTCCTCCTGTCACACTCTCAATTTCAGCCTTTACTACCTTAGCAGTAGACTCCAGACTTGTTTCCATGTCATCTTTATGTGCCTCCTCTGGCTTCATCTTCTTGACTTCAAACTTTTCTTTTCCTTCCTTCTTCCGTCTCTCCTTTTGCGTCGCCGCTTCTTTCCATTTTTTTTAGAAACAATTTAGTCCGTTTTTGTAGTCAATGCCGCATCCAGCCATTCCTGTTCCACTTGCCACTCGTGTACTAAGTAAAAGCGTCGGGCGCTACAAGTACATAAAAATTATCACGACATGCCTCTCACCTGTTCGGCAATCATTGTCCGACGTACCAACACATTCATTTCGAGAAACCCTTTGCAAGAACAACAGGACACTTTTCTGTTTCCTAAAACATCAATGAATGTGTCCATACAAAGCTCCCCACGACTGTTAACGTCGATGTCTGTGGGGCTTTGGAAGCGCTATGACAAACGTGAAGATTATGATCGTGTGTATTGAGACCGCGGTATATATGTGTCAGTAGTGCTTGCGTGGTGACGAACGTTTGAGTGCATTAAGTGTTGCCGCTGCGTCAAACGAATGCGTCTGGTTTAATCAGATACGGAAGCGAGAGCTGAAGACCGTCAATGGACGTTTTGTTGACCTGGGCAGTAAACTTTAATAAATAAATTGCTATGAACGAGTTGTAAAATTCTAAGTTGTTGAACTTCTACCGCACGGGTGCGATTAAAATTAAATTGCTTATAGGAATATAGCGATATCGCTCGCGAAGTTCAACCGGAGCTACTAAGTACTTATAAATTTAGAAGCTCTTGGCTCCGCGCTAAGTGGAGCCTAAAGACTATCTTCGGTACGATCGTTGACTCGGACTCGTAATGCCATAGCTTCTTCTGTGCGAGATGTACGATAACCCCTTACACTTGGTGACACTTATTGTCAATTCGATGACTGTGTCCTCAAATGTACCCTCTTAAAGATTGAGCACGATATGTCCGTTGTACAACTAAGCACACCCGCGAAGCTCCTGACTTTAGTTTGTCTCCAGAAGAGAAACAATAGGCGCTGATGTGTCGAAAGCGGCTCGCTTAGGGGAGCGAGCTCACGAATGATGGGAATGAGATAGAGACACTTTCAGGCACGCCACGTCCAGGCTTTATTTGGAGCACAACTGGTTTCATCTGTGAAGCATCTTATGTTTAGCATTCAACCCTCCAAATACGGGCTAGGAAGTATTAAGATCGAATAGAAGGGTTGAGATGACTTTTTATCGGTTACGCATCTCAGCACGTCGCACTAGCGGACTAGGCTGTGAGCGAGAATAGGCACTTAAAGGAGTAGTTTAGAAAGCCATCTCCAACATGGTAGTTATTTGAAGAGCCGGATGTCTTGTAACGGGCGTAGCATTCGCAATCAGACTTCCTGCTCGCCCGTCAAGTGAGGCAAAATTCAATACAATATGACCAACATTTGTGTGCTCACATGGCTGTGATAGCGGAAATTTCAGTTGTAAAAACAGTCACCATCATCATGTAGGGGTGCAGCTTGCAGCAGGATTTCTACATCAGCTCATCTACCTCAAATTCGATTGGTGAGCATAGCGTTCATCTCGCAGAGGCCTATTGGAGTACGAAAGACGGAGGCTCAGCGAGTGCATCAGAGACATTAGACCTTGGATAGCTAAGGAATTTGAAAGCGACGTCTTAGCTAAAGTGTCACTCACAAACGTTACATCTGTGGTATGACATAAAATTTCCCCCCTTAACATTCATTTCCTTTGCTTGCGATGTTTGAAGGTTTGGCATCCACCAGAAAAACTCACACCCAAAAAGAGCTGTCTTCGTGGTTATCAAACCAGTGAGATGCAGCTCAAAAGATGTAAAATATTCTACGCAACGTTTGTGAGGATTGTTGGTTGTCGACATCAACTCATGAGCTTTGTGAGTTTGCGAGTAGACCTTATAGATTCAGGAGCGTCGTACGTAGTCGCTCCACGCGCGACTATCGAGAACGGTATTCAGTACGCAGAGTCATTTCAGATGCCAGATACAGATACATGATCCGTGAATTTTGGTATGGAGACAATCGATAATTAGTTTGATTCATCATGTGTATTTTTATAACTTGAACAGCTTAAAACCTTTTCTGGTATTGATTTCATTCTTGAGGTTCGAATTCACTTCTGGTATGAAGTACCTTAAACGCCATTCGCATGAATCAGTGAGAAGTAGGTACCACGCACTTCTTGTCATTGCTTTTTTTGCTAGAACAATCAAGTACGTATGTCGCGGACATTTAGCTGTGATAGTTTTAGAGATGATTATGGAATTGTCAAACAGCAAAGACATTGCTCTGTGCATCAGACGAAGCTCGGAGGGGAGACGCTGCAGGAAGACATGATTTTCAGAAATAACGGAGAAATTATCGTCATGTAACATGGGTTTGAAGTGTAATATTGATGAGACGGCAATGTGTGAGGGATGTCGCAATCACTCCGAGCGTATATTTGTGAAGACGTTTCATTCAAGTCAAAACATGAGGCCCTTGACTAAACTGTTAGGATTGACCGTATATCATGGATATCAGAGTTAAAAGTGTGCAGACCGAGTCGGAGCGGCTCACTGCCGCGATCTCCTGAGCAAGATTTGGTGGATACAGAACATGGTAGATTGCATATAAGAAGGCTTGTTTTATCAGCTATTTCTGTCACAATCTAATGGCACAGCGGAAACATCAGTATTGTCAGACAGATCCACGATGCGAGTCAGGGGGTTTGGGCGAAAATGATAAGCCATTTATGAATATAGTGATCGTGGTAAGTCTCCTTACAATCCCTCGGGAAGTATATCTCATTGAGCTTGAAGATTTGTCCCGTTTTGACGTCTGTAAAGAGTTTCAAAAGGTGCTCTCATGGTAATGGTAAAATTAGTGTACCACAGATAAATCTGTTTACCGTCAAGTGTCATAGATGAGTCCATTATTGATGACACTGGAACAGCGCTGAATGCGTGAAGTGGAGCAAATATCCAAATAGCGAATTGTATTAGCTTTCTTTGGAGGAGTATGACGACGTGGTGGCGTGAGACCCACCACGCGCTACTGCCACCGTATCAAACAGTATCTACCTGGGTTATAAAATTATACAACTTGTCTTGATTTGATGGCGACTACCAAGGAGTAGTGTGATGTCATGTACGATTTCTTTTGTGCTAATCACGAAGCGACCTCAGTGAGAGAGAAGGAATGATTGCACTCAGCGCCGACAGTCTCTGTCAGAAGTGCGATGGCAACAGATATTTGCCAGAACTTGTTACGGCCATCTTTTAAGCACAAATGCCGAATTCCAGACCATCATGCTACAAAACAGCATGGTCGATGTACCTCTCCTTAGTGCTGTTGCCCTTGTTGATATATTATTAACAGCTCAGCAGAAATAAGTGATCTCGTGCTAACTGCTGCGATTACGCTAAGTGGAATGCTCTAAGAACCGCTGGTTATACCACAAGAAATGTTGTATATATTGGCGAAGCTCAATGATCTAGTGCTATAGCTGTTTAGGCTACATCATGGACCTAAAACAAAATATTGATCCATAGCTGTGAATACCACGGATGATCTAATATTAATATCCACATCAAACACTTGCAAGCGCTCAAGATCATGCGCCTCAATAAGCTGGGTACTTATATCTACAGATGCGGTTTTGGGCTATTTTTCTCTATGAGATGCTTCATTGGGTAGCATGGTCTATAGGCAGATTCCGCGAAGATATGGGACATCATGAGCTGGTCAATTCTGCTGCCGCAAAAAGACTTAAGGAAGTGGTTTGGTCTTGCAGTGGGGCTGCCCTAGCTCTTTGCTAAGAGGAAGCTTACTAAGGTCACCGACCTTACGCTCTCTACCAGAACCAGTACGAGTGTTGCGAATCGATATCCGCTACCTCCAAGAGTACTTGAAACGCTTAACCAAGGCAAATACATTCTTCCGTCCAGAATTAAGACTGCATTTATTTGTTTATTTGCGGCAGAGCCGCCTATATCTAAAGTCTTAGGTTTTTTTTAACATAGTAAAACCTTTGAATTTGCATAACTTCTGGTAGTCCCACCACGTAGTGGCTTTCTGTTACGGTGTAGCCACGCCATTGAGTGATTCCAGCAATTTGTGTAATCTACACCTTTGTACGATCACACCATCTTGTGTGACCCACCCTTTCATACATGGGTGCGTGCAACCCCGTTACAATCCCCTCATCGAAATTGTGAATGCCCAAAACTCACGTTAAACTTTTGCATCATACGAGGCTCGCGTGTCTAAGACACCTTACGTCCCTAAGACCATCTTTAAGCGTTCTTCGCACAATGAGCCCTGTGTTTATGACACAAAAACACCCAGTCTAGCTTGTTCCTAGGGTGCCCGCAGGCAGAGCCCTATTTCGTCTTCTGCACGGAATGCATCCCCAGACAGTATATCCGCGGCTTCACCAGAACAAGTGCTGCTCGGTCTCTATGGCATTGCACCCATCGGAAACGCATTTGCGGATGCCTGGGTGTGACGCCACCAGGAACAGAATCGCGAGCGGACTGGCAGAAGACGGAACGCCAGTCGAAACTGCAAGTCGTCAACGATGGGGTACAATATTTACGCAGTCTCGGGCCGAATTTGACAAAAGACTTGATCTGTGCTTCGTTGACACGTTGTGGGCAGACAGTCATCGGGTGCGGTTTGCTTGGGGTTTTGAGTGTCCACATGGTGTATAGAAGTGCTGACTGTGGAATTGCCGAAAACGAGAACAATTTAGCGCCACTTGCCACGCCAAGATAGGGATGTTAGCCTACCCTTGGACTTCTTGATAGAGGCAGGGCGACTCGCAGCACACCAAGCCTCGCCACAATCTGCGTCGTCTCCTTGTACAGCCTGTCAAGCCATTTCGCTTGCAGTCCAGGCAGCGAAGACTCAAGAGTGAAGTAAATGAGTCGCTGTACAAAATCCTGTCGAGACGGCCACGCGCTACCTGTAGCCATGAAGTCCGACAGTGATCGCAGCCTGAAAACTCGCGACACATGCAGACGGAAGCTTCTCTGCGGCGCAGGCACCATGCCGATGCAGCGACGATGAGCCGCTGTAGTGCTTGATTGTTTAGTTTGCTCGTAATGCAGCTGAACGTTGGCGTGGAACCATATCGGCTGCTCAAGTTCATACGCTACTCGTTCCTCTGGGGGAAGGTCATGCCATGTTATCTTCCAGCGGGCCTTGTTCACAAGATGCATGACATTCGCCACCAAAGCGACGCTACATTCCACTGAATCAGCTCGCCGTGTCAGAGTGGAGAGATCGTGGGAAAGTCCAACGCGTTGCGCTTGCCGTAATGTGGCAGTATGGACACCAGCAACTCGACACCCGCCGTGGTCCAATTGCGCTCGCTAGTCGCACTTACCACACGCATGAACTACAGAAGTAGTGAAAGATGCTGATGTATGAAGTGCGCGTCTAAACATGGGACGCCAAGTCCTCCGTTGCTTTGTCTCTGATACACGAACTCACCCGGAATGAGCTGCACGTGCTTCGCGTCTTTGTCATGTTTGCAGCTCAGAATAAATCGTTTCAGCATAGACTGCCGGCGTCGCACGACTGTCTGTGGGATTGAGATATGAAGCGTGTAGTGCCACAGGCGCGAGAAAACCATCGTTTGTACAGCAAGAAGCCGACCACGAAGAGTTCGCGCACGTCGGTACCACGCCTTGATGCCGTTGTAGATGCGTTGGTCCAAGAGCTTGACGATTATGTTGTCGACTGGAGCTTGGCCGAATGGCATGCCCAAGTACTTGACAGTTTCGTTGCGACCGAGCACGTGGACGCCAGGCAACTGAGGACAGTCTCATTCCGATTAAGCGCCAATAGCACCAACTTGGCAAGGTTAAGCTTTGCTTCAGAACCGTCACAATAATCCGCTACGATTTCAAGCTGTGCCTGCAAGTTTGCAATCAAGCTGGTGAGAAAAGTTGAGTCGTCTGCAAAGAACGAGCCCGTTGTGGTGTGGTCCGCGCTCAAGAACACGCCATACTCCTCGTGTGAGCGCAGCAGATCGCCCAGAGGCTCGATTGCAAGAATAAAGATTAAGGCAGACAATGGATCGCCTTGCTTCACGCTGCGTGTTGGATGTAGTACCAGCTGGATATCGCCATTGATAAGTAGGTGGGCTTACTGCTTGGTGTACAGTAGCTGGATCCAAGCGATGATTTTTTTCCGAAGCCCATGCGCACCAACAGTCGAAACATGTATGCCCAGTTGACGCGATCAAACGCCTTTTGAAAGTCTAAAAACATTGCATATGCCTCTGGGTCTCGATTCATGACGAGATCTTGCAAGTCGGCGAGGAAGCGCACGTGATGATGAATGGAGCGACCTCTGACAAAACCCTTCTGATCTGGATGAATCAAGTTGACAATCACATTTTGCAGCCGATACGCTTGCGCTTTTGACAGAACTTTAACGTCGGCTGGCACGAGCGCAATTGGTCGGTAATTACCCGGCTCAACACGCGAACGTTTCTTGTGTAGCAGTACTACCGCCGACTTGCGCTGGCACACTTGGAGCTCGCCGCGTTGGAGTCGATCATTAAAGACGATCGCCAAACACTCACCAAACACGTTTGGTGCTACTTCGTAGAATCCAGCGGTCAAGCCGTCCAGA